AGGTGCCTTTCAGACGATATGCAACTTTAAGACCTCGTAAGATTAAAACCAACAGGACAGGACAATGAAATTGAGCTATACATTCGGTCCTTGCTGAGCCCATTGAGTAATCACGCATGAGTGTGAACTTTGGACGCATTTTTCCTAGTTTTGCTGTGGACATACAGATAAAGCAATGCCGTATATGAAAAATTCAGACATTTCTTAGCCCTACTGACACAAAAAATAAACCAAAATCCAAAAAATATTTTTTGAATTAATAGGCGCTAGATCGGAAAAATCCCCACTGTGCATTGGTAAGATTGGGCCCTGGTTCGCGGCCGATCACCTCCACTTTGCAGCGGGTTTCGATGACACGTTGCAAATTGCGGAGGTGTGTTAAAAGTCTAGTGTAATTTGCGACCAGACGCTTCTGCGGGGCTAATCTCCGCAACCACTGGACCAATCCACTTGCGGTCATTTTTGTAGGGTAGCGTCATTCCTTCTACCAAGCATTGGACGATTCCCAATTCGTGTGGGTGACCCCTTATCCCGGCCGGGCCCGGGGGGTAATCCCAACCACCGCAGCCCGGGGGGGGGGCGTTTTTCGCCCCCCCTGTCTAACTCCGTAAATAAGGGAGCTACGGAAACAAAAGCGATACCAAACGAAAGGTCCTTACGAGACGATTCTAAAGCACCTAAAATTTTTGACCTCAGGTCAATTTTCAAGGTCAGAGGTCAAGGTCAAAGGCAAAAACCGGCACATGTGTAGTGATCTCAAAATAAGCCTTCTAGAGGACGGCAGGCTGCATCAAACCGGCAAAATTGGGTGTCAAACAAAAGAAGAGAATCTAAGGATTCCGAACCTGTGCTCAAAATCAAAGGTCAAGGTCAAGGTCATGCTCAAAATTGACCTCAAACTTGGCACTTTTTCGCACATCTTGCGTGCTAACTTCCAAGATGTTTTGAAATGTTTTGAGGCTTATCAGTTCCCTATTTGTGGTTCATCTTACGATAAAGGGCTGTTCAAAGGTCAAGGTCACAGAAGAGTATCCCTGCTAGAGGCTATTTCACTAATTCAAGTTAGTAATAATAAATAAGACAATTTTGCCATCCGGAAGCTCTAAATGAAGGTTTAGAGGAAAATAGATGCCAGATTCGTGATCAGCGGATACAAATCCATCATAAACGACCTTTCATGTGTCAAGGTCAACCAGAGGTCATTCGAGGTCACATGAGGTCAACATAAAATTCGACCTTTTCCGAACAAAATATATATCATTCGACGCGGCTTGACAAGGCGAATGCGATGGTACCACTGCCGTAGCTCTAGGACCATTTTTGTCGAAGTTATTTGCGAAAAACTAAAACCACATTTCGGGGTCGTTGACCTGACCTCTGACCTCAGGTCACCAAAACTATTTTTCTATTTTTCTCTAGGTCAAACGCTACACAACCGTGCTCGTAATTTGTCTTTATCTCTAAAACTCTATTTTTAGCAGCTATTTGAAGTTTGCGTCTGTGACGCCGAAGTTTGCCGTGCAGGGGTCTAGAAAAATGGACCTTGTGACGTCATCAAGGGGGCTAGGTCCAAATTTTTTACTTCAGAAGATGTCAAATTGATGGGAGAAAAGGTACTGAAAGTTTCGCTTTCCTATCCCTAAGCGTTCGGGAGCTATCGCAAATATTCGCCAGGGGGGGGCGAAAAACGCCCCCCCCCGGGCCCGCGAGGGTTATGCATGTGCCACGTGCAAAAGGTTGGAGTGTCAGTTTTGTGGTATGACAGTTTGACGTTTGTGAAAAGCGATAATGTGAACACATATATATTGCACAAACCGGTTTCGATATCACTTCATCAGTGTGCAAATATATAAATAAAACACTCAAAATACAAAACGGAGACGAAATAGGTACAGCACGTACAGCAGAGCAAATTAATTTCAAATACATTCATATGACCTCATGTGATTGAGATCCCAAGACGCTTCCGCACCAAAAGAACGGCTAAACTTTTTCCCAATCGTATGTCACCAGCTTTGGAATTTACACACAAACAAGATTCAATGAGGGACGATTCAATCGTTTTTCTATCGGACCTACTTAACCTATCTCGTATGATCTCAGTGCGATCCCAATCAGGTAGACTACCACACTTTTCGGCATGTTTCACCATTGCATTGTTAATATTGTGGTTCCTAAAATCTCTCTTGTGCTCCATTAACCTGTTCTTAAGCCCTCTCGACGTTTCACCGAAATAAGGTGAAACGTCGAGTGTGTGTAAATCTTGTTTGTTTGTGTGTAAATTCCAAAGCTGGTGACATACGATTGGGAAAAAGTTTAGCCGTTCTTTTGGTGCGGAAGCGTCTTGGGATCTCAATCACATGAGGTCATATGAATGTATTTGAAATTAATTTGCTCTGCTGTACGTGCTGTACCTATTTCGTCTCCGTTTTGTATTTTGAGTGTTTTATTTATATATTTGCACACTGATGAAGTGATATCGAAACCGGTTTGTGCAATATATATGTGTTCACATTATCGCTTTTCACAGTGTCAGTTTTGTAACAATTGTAATATCTCAGTAGACAGTAACTATTATTCGGCCGGTTGCGCTGAAACATGGCATGTAGGTAGGCTAGGCACCTACTAGACAATGCATTCCCATTTCCCATGTGTCACAGTTGGGGTGCTGCTGCACGTGTGCACGTGCAGGGGTGACTTCCAGATATCACGAACGGTTGGGCGCTCAAATTTGGTACAAGGTTAGGGACTGGTTAGTAAGGTGCCGTGCAAAAGTCAGTTGGGGCCACGTTGGCACGTGCGCACGTGCAGGGTGCCGTTTCCAGATCTCGAGAACGGGTGGGCCGATTGGACTCACATTTGGCACATCGCTAGAGACCGGTTAGTAGGGTGCCGCGCACAAGTCAGTTGGAGGTACCTCCTTGCAATTCCACGTGCACGTGCAAGGCTTACGTGCACACATTTTACTACCTCACGTCAGCCATTTTTGACTTGACCTGAAAATGACCTTTGTGAAATTGTAGATCCTGTCCACTTGGGCGTCATGCGTCGTCCACTTGGGCGTCGTCCACTACGCCGTTAACCGCTTGTCACTAGCTTGCTTCGTTCCCGAGTTATCACGGAGGGGGAGGGGGAGTTGGTGCGAAGTTGGAGCGGAGCCCCGTCGGTGCGTGGGTGGAAACAACTAACAAGCTTTTTTATCGAATTTGCAACCAAGAACAGGCACGTGCATTAACCCGCGCCATGCTGGGGAGGGGGTGGGGGGGGGGTTCAAAAACTCCCCTGTGGTTTTTCGCGAATATCTCAAAAACGGCGGCGCCGTTTTTGATACACCTTATCATACATCAATATTCAATTCTACGCATGTTGTGAAAATTTCAGACCAAGGTCATTCAAGGTCAGGTAAAGTGACCTGAGGTGAGGTCCTCATAAAAAGTTTCAATGTCTGACATCCAGTGACCGATCGATTTGAAACTTTCAGCGATTGCTAAGAGCAATAACATGTACAAAATTTATTTCTCAGAATTTTGATATTGATGACCTAAGGTCAGGTCAATTTTGCGACCTCCCCATTATAAGTCAAAGGGAGAAAATTGAAATGCGCCTGTTTCGGACGAAAGACATTATAAACACTCCCAAACACTGAATTACAAGTGGTTTAGACACACTGAACATGAAAATGGTGTCCGTGACCCCTGTTTATGCCCCTGAGATCATCTCAGGTCACGAATGGCATCTAACAGTTTTTCGCAAATAACTTTTGAAAGAGGCACGCTAGAGCGATGAAAACGCCTTAGATGTGTTCAGATCGACAATACGGATCGACTGATATGCAACATGACCCTTTCCGGTCAGGTCATGACCTTGACCTGAGGTCAAAATTTCAAGTTGACCTTTCAAGGTCAAGTTATAGTTCATTCGATGCGTCTTGACGACAGGAGCACGATGCCGGTAAAAGTAGGCTCGTACAAGGCTTGGGTCAAAAGTTATTGCAGAAAAAAAACTTTCCGAAAAATAGGCTATTTTGCAGTTTTTGCCCCCTGCAGGCAAAACCGTTGACGCTAGGTCAAATCTGAGAGAATTATTCAGAAAGGGCGTTAATAGGGCTATCGACTGCGCTTTTCCGCGGCGCTGTAGCTCTTTTGGTTCCCGAGTTATGCGTTGGCTTCTTGGAAATTGTCGACATTCGACCTGGAAATCGGCAAAATTTTGCCTTCAATGACCTCTGGTGACCTGACCTTTGAAGTGACCAAAAAAGTAACCGAAGTGATTTCGTCATTATTTTTGGCGCTCTTTCGAACGCCGACTTCTGCGTTTCGCTACGTGGCCCAGGAGCCGAGTTAGAAGGGGGGTGTTCAACCCCCGCCCCCGGGGGGCCCCCAGCAGGGCGTGGAAATCCAGGACCCCCAGCCGGGCGCGGGTTAAACCAGCCAAAGTGCGGTATAAGCCAATACCTATAATGCTTCTTTGGAGGATCGAGCGTAAGCGGAACGACTTTGACACCCCACGTGGCACGTGCCGAGTCGGTTACACTGATTCACAAAGAGGAGTCGAATTTGGGTTAAAGTAAGATGACCGTCTCCCAAGCACATACACGATCGCAAAGATGTGTGTGAAATTGGTTACAGGACGCTGGACGGGTCATGCAGAACGATCAAGCTCATGTGTTTTCGTAAATACCAGTCGGGTGACAAACGAGCCGTGCGAACGTGCAAACTGGGTTCTAACTGACTTTTGCTGAGCACCCTATTCACTGGTCCCTGACGATGTACAAAGTTTAGGCGCAATCGGCCTAGCCGTTCCCAAGATATGGAGGCAACCCCTGCACAAGCGCACGCGCAGTAACACCCCAACCCTGACACATGGAAATGCATTATTCCGTGAGTCTGTACCCACACGAGGACAAGAACACAGTCTACTGTCGAAAGAAAGGTAAATGTCATTACCTGGATCCCTTCGATGGACACCATAGCCCTCGGAACCGCCAACGATGTACTGACCTGATGATGACGGTCCGGCCGGAGAGGAAGTCACAGACTGCCCAGACGTCTCCGAGTGGACGGTCAGCTCCCGGGCCGAGTCGTCTCCGTAGTACACCAGCAGCTCTGAGCCCCTCGGGATGGGCTTTGACGTCCTGCATACAGGGTGGAAAGTAATTACGCGAACATACTTTTTCGTCTTCTAGTAATGAAAAAAACGGCGGTGACATAAACAATATATGTTTTACTTTATCCTTATCTAGTTGCGATGCATTGACATAGGCGTTCCGGCATGATTTACATCAGCATGTGAAGATCTGTTGGCCAAAGCTCAGCCCACACCTTATGGAGCTGTCCAGTGAGGAAATCGGTATAAGTGGCTCCTTGCAGCTTTTAGACGGTCTCCTGAGGAGTCATCTGGAGATTTTTAATCGAATTGAGGCCCAGGCGTTTCCCAGATCAGCTTTTGTATGTCCTGAAGAAAAACAGGTTCTCACAGCACCAGTATTGCGTTTTGTTGGCCGTGAAATAAGGATTTCACCAATCACGAAGAGCAGTTTCTTTGCGTCGGGCACAAAGGTGCGCTCAATCATTTTGCCCCTTTCGTTGCACGGTGGATTAGACAGAGACACTCGTCTTGGAGGATGTTCCACCGGTTGAATACTTTATTTTTAGTGACCTTTTTTAGCGCTACACGCAATTCTGACACCATCCGGGGGCTCGTGACCCACTGATGTGTTCCTTTGCCGGATGTTTGAAGGTTGGGACGGACGGGACATAGGACGCAACAGCAGCCCTCAGAGCAGTTGTTCTGCAGGTTTGACGGATGAAACAGTTTCACAGATGTCTCACCCAACCACAAATCCAGCTGTCTGTCCTCCTCTGTCTATCTTTGATTGTCTTTGAAAAGCTTCAATTAACAATTCTGCTGTTAATTCGTGAATTTTGGTCATCCCGAGGGTTTGTATGACTTAATTTTCGAATTTTTGCGTATTAATGTGCTAATCGTGATATCCTAGATCGGGTACCCGGCCAGAGTAAGCTATTTTGCCAGTTTTCGGGTCGACTGGCGTCGTTTTGTCGCCGACATGGTGACCACCCATCCGGCGACAGAATTCGCCGAGGGGTTGCTGCCGCGGACGGCTTTGCTTTTTAAGTCCTCTCAAGTGTTATTATGTTTAAAAAAAACGTATAATTGTGCAATGCCGGTGCTGAGACCGCTACGAATCCCTTCTCCGCCAGTCCAGCGAAAATAATCACAAACGCTTTCCCTGGGAGCTCCAAATTGAGCTCTTTGCCCATTTCGGTCTTGTGCAGCGTATGGTGTCTGCACCATTTTAAATCGAGAGGTGTTTAAGACCTTCCAGGTCATTGTTCAAAGTTAAGTCACTTTTGGTAGATGAGGCGACAACAAACACGACCAGTTATGTTCCATGACAGCCCGTACTCATAAAAATGCTCCACTGACGGTCAAAATTGTAAGAAAATACATGTTCGCGTAATTACTTTCCACCCTGTAGGTCAATACATATGTCATCATAGATGAAAGCATGATATATCTCCAAGCTTAGAAGCATCCAAGATACCATTAAACAAACCGCGTACAAAATGCGAAACTTATGCGGGACACATTCGTCAATTGTAAGACTACAACACACCTGAAATATATCTGACCCCGGTACTGGAAGGCCACTAGGTTTTGTTCTTCCTCCGAGCGGGCACAGTTGACCCTTCTGAGCCAGTTGCTGCAGCTCGGGTCTTCGGCATTCACCGAGTGATGCACAAGGTGACCTTTCTTGATCTGAAGCAAGATAAAACACTATCAAATCAATCCTATGAACGAAACAAAAATATAGCATATGCTTTGTAAACATTGTCAACTTTCTATCACTCTGACATTGGTCTGAAATGTTTTAATAGTATTAAATCGTCTAAATAATTCCAAAGTAATAGGAGCAAAAAGTGCCGATGTGAAATTAATGGGACCAAAATTATATTATCATACAAAACATGAACCAACAAAATACAATTGCAAATAAGGGCAAAGGAGATTCGAAAGAAATAACAACACCGACCTGCCATCTGTACCCGGTGGTTCGGGCCTGACCCTGCTCGGTGGTCAAGATGCCCTCGTAAGGACCAAGTCTTTGGCGCGCAGGAAGATCATTCTCCGCAAAAACTCCTGAAATTGAATAAAGAATGTCGTGGAATCGAACATACGCACGTCTTCACTTTATCTCAATGGACACACAAGACACTATCTATCTATCTATCCATCAGGCACTATCCATCTATCTATCAGCATCCATCGACCATCAGGCACTATCCATGGGACATTAAATTGAGCAATACAAGCACCATCACCAAATGTTTGCAGCAAAATCCAGCAGCGGTTGTTACGTACCACCGTTTGTTTTGCCTCATCAACTTACCGTTGCCAGATGCTGGATTTCTCGACTGACCAGAGCTGAGAGACGACGGCAGAGTCTTGAGGTCCCTTTCGGCATCTCCGATACCGGGTCGTGCCTGGAATATTCAGCGTAGGTATAATATAAAGCACAATGTCGACCAAGAATGATATAATGCCCGAATTGGGCTAAACGTAAACCTGTTTGAAAATCAAACGGAGAAGTTTTGTAAAGGTAATTCATAAACCTATTGTAAACCTGGTTGTACCCATGCCAGTACTAAAAAAAACTGCAGCACAAGCAATAGCTACCAAGAGAATTACATGAATGTAAAAGAAATTGGACATTTCTACTTGCAACTGTTGCCATTTTCTGATTTTACACCTAACTGGTCACATTCAAAGTCGCAATGTGGAAGTCATGCAACGGTGTAATAAAAGAGAAATTGAATGAACATGTATGGAAGTAAGGATACGAAACCATCGCGTCCCTCACCTTGGCGTCGGGTATGACATTCAGCGGTCCATGGACAGGACATTCCCCGTCCCTATCGCGGCAACACAAGTCACAAACTGCCGGAAAGCGGGGCGAAATATAATTTACATTTTACTTGAGAATATAGTAAGGTTTAATCACTTACCTACGTTTCTGCAAGACGGTAAAGGCCGCCGTCCACTGGTTAAGTACGCGCTGAATTTAATATTGAAGTCTATTGGCTGCGCGCCGAATGCGGTTCAGCGCCGAACGCGCGATGAATCGCCGTCAGCTGATTATTCAGCGGGTGTTAGGCGCCGAATCATGTGCTGACGACTAAAGATTACTTTACAACTCTGACGTCTTGAAACACTTCAACTCTTCAGCGCGCTCTAGGCACTGGACGATCACGCGCAAAATGTGCGCCTAACCAGTGGACGAAGGCCTTTACAGTAGGTACATCTTTCTGGATTGACTGCAATTTTATGAGTTTTTGTGTACAGTCTTCCTCTGATAAACATGAAAAAGCAGTTCCGAATTTCAAGTTGAAAAGGCAAGAAAGCAATGCAAATCATGAAAAGTGATACCTATCGGCTCATGACACCAAAAAGCAGGTGACTAAAATGAAGAAAATACTCACATATGTTACCATCATCGAGACCATCCACGTCCCGGTAGTTTATTACAAGACGTTGACCTTTGATGAGCACGCCTTCAGGAAAGACTGAAAAAATACAGGTCATGTACCTATGATTGGGCAGCATTTACATCAGGCGTAAATTCAATAGAATGCATGCAGTCAGATCACTAATTATCCAGCGCCCGGGTGGGCCTCTCAGCCAACTTTGCCATGGTGGGGGGGGGGGGAGGGCTTTTTGGCCACACCAGATTATATCGGAAAGTAAGCAAGGTAAAAAGACGCGGCAAAAAGCAATAGATAGCTCGCTACAAGATCTTTAGAATCAACTAGGTCAATTTTTGATCAGGTCATCGCTGAGGTTACTAGAGGTCACCAAAGAAAAAAATCACGATTTTTTGTACCCGATATTGACAACTTTTCACAAATCGGCGCATAAGCCGGGAACCAATAGAGCTACAGCGCTGCGTAAAAGCGCATTCGATAGCTCTTTCAAAGGCCTTTCTATATTCTCAGATTTGACCTAAGGTCAACAGTTTAGCCTCCAGAGGGCAAAAACTATCAAAATTTGACGTTTTTTGTAGAAAAGGTTTGGTCTTTGGTATCATAGCTTTTGACTCCAAGCTTGTATGACGGTGCTTTTACCGGCATCGCGTTTGCCTCGTCGAGACGCGTCGAACGATCTATAAGATAACCTGGAAAGGTCAACTTGAAAAATTTAACTTCGGGTCAAAGTCACGGAAAAAGTCACGTTGCATGTCATTCGATTGGTATTGCTGAACTGAACTCATTCATGGTGTTTTCAGCGCTCTAGCATATTTCTGTCTAAAATTATTCTCAAAAAGCTGTTGTAAACGTTTCATGACCTGATATGACCTCAGGGGCATAAAAGGGGTCACAGGTGCAATTTTTCGGTTCAGTGTGTCATGCTTACCTATTAGGGTGTGTCACTAATCGCAATGCAAGGTGCTCCATCGATTTTATTGTGCTCCACTCATGTGGAAAGGGCGTGGCATTGTTAATTTCCCGCAAATTTTAACCCCCAGGCGGCGCCGAGCGAGAGAAGTTTACCCTATCTCACAACATAGGCGACCCTAGCGCCCCTGGCGGCTGTTTGCGAAACTAACAGGCCGTTGACTGTATGGGCTTATCCCTGCTCTCTGTAAGCGCGGCTAGGGACAAATAATAGTATGGGCAGATTGCAGAGAGTGCAAGCTAATGACGAATACCTATAATGAATACAATATATTGTCACAGGGGCCCAGGAACATTCTTCAAGTTGGGGTGCAAGCCCAAAATACCTGACATGACGCATATGAAATAGTAGCGTAGTCAGGGGGTCCCAGGAGGCACGTGCCATCTAGCCCCCCCCCCCCCATCGCATTCAGAGGACCCCTCGGGTCGGAGGGGCTCTGTGACACCAGTTTACCGCTCAGGGTCTATGCTGGCCATATTTCGATTCAGAAAGAATAGGGCTCGTAACTGCACCTCGTGAGTCCAAAGAAGCCTCACTAAATTGTCCATGAGGGTTACACGCCGGCTTCTGAAGGCTACTGGCGGCCTCTGAGGGCCCTTTACCGGCCTCTTATGGCCGCTAGCGTGCCTCTGAGAGTCCTTGCCGGCCCAAGAGGGGCCATATCTAGGGCCTTACGCCAACCTGTAATCAGTAATGGCCTCACACCAATGCCTCTGACGGCCCCATTACGACGACTGTGAGACTGAGGGCCCTCACTGGTGCTTCTGAGAGCCCACCCGGCCATAAAGACCTCTGCGGCACCAACTGACCTCTGAGGGTCCACGCTGACTATATTTCAGCTGAGAAAGACCTCACAGGTCTCGTAAGAGCACCTCATGAGCCCCTAAGAAGCCACACTAAGATCTCCGTCAGGGTCTACGACGGCTTCTGAGGATCCCATAACGGAGACCGTGAGGGCCCTCAGCAGGGCCTCTGACGGTTCACAACCAGCACCTCTGAGAGACACGCACCAGTGGTTCTAAGGGCCCATAAGGACACCACTGAGGGTCCCCCAAGCCAGTGCCACACCATTTATGCAACCCTATATTGGTGGCTCTGAGGTACCCACACCTGCGCCTGTGAGGGTTCGGCAAAAGCATATCTGACGGCCACCTACCTGCAACTCTGAGGGCCCTACACCAGAGACTGAGGGCCGCACTGGCGTCTCAGAGTACCTTGTCGGTATCTAAGGACCCCACAGGGCTTCTGAAAATGCCGCCGGCCTCTGTGGGCCCCTTGCCGGTCTGAGGTCCCCCTCCCCGGTCGTTGAGGGCCCCCTGCCGACTTTTAAAGGGTTCGCACCAGCAGCTCTAAGGGCCACACACCCACATGTAACGGACCCACACCAGTGTCTCTGAGGGTCCACAACGGCGTCTGTATTCTGTGAGGACCCTCACCGGCGCTTATGAGGGATTCACACTAGCACCTCTGAGGGGCCACACGGGCGTCTGTGAGGACCCCACACCAGTGCCTCTAAAGGCCCCTAATTGGAGGCTCTGAAGGCCCTGCATCGGTGATACTGATGGTCCTACCAAAGGCACAACACAAGCCATTAGTCTCCTTCCGAGTCCCACACGCCGCCCTCCCACCATAGGCGGCGGAACGGGGAGGGCACCGGGGCACCGTGCCCCCTCTGATTTGGGCATTTTAACATTAGCCCTATGGATGGGCGTTGCATGGAAAGAATGGGACCAAAAGTCGGCAGTGTCCCCCCCCCCCCCCTCCACTTAATTGAAGGTGTTCCGCCGCTACTGCCTCCCACCGGAGCGAGTAAACCTGTATCAATCAACGACTTTACCACCGTTATACGTCATAATGTTCTCATCACGCCAAATCAAATACCATCCGGAACCAAAATGGTCCAGTATAAAATCTGACCTACCAAAGTTATGATCAAGTTCAGATAAAATCAAAGTGGGATGACAATAGCAGGTGTTCTTAAATCGATGCCGAATCAGCAGAAACCATTCACATGCAAGAGAAATACCTTGTGCTGATGTTTATATAAAAACAGACATGTAGGCCCATAAAAGGGAGCAGAGATCCTTCATCGTTGCATCAATGTTGAGGGGGCGGCGCCCACCCGGCTCTCAAGTTGGAGGGGGGGGGTAAGCGCCCCCACTGCCCCCCCCCCCTGTTCCCCGGGGTCTATGCAGTGAACGACGCTACAAAAAAAAACATGTGACACCTAATAGCAGGCACTATAAACATGCGCTCGTACGTATCCCGTCAGACCAGGACGGGGATCGGGGGTAGTACTATGCAATATACATTAACACAGAACTATTTCGTGCTTTAAGATGCATAACATCACATTTGCACGAACATTCTGAGTGCCAGACAAGCCAACAGCAAGGCGTCATTTCGGTAAAATGCATTTAATGATGATCGTAAGCTCACAAAGCATAGCGAGCGTGTTAGTTCAAAACATTGCCGCTAGGGGCGCTGAGGTCGCTAATGCTGAGAGATAGGCCAAAGTGCCGGCGGTCGGCGCCGCATGGGTGTTAATATTTGGGGGAAATAAAAAATGTCACACGGTTTCTACGTGTCTGGGGCACGATAAAATCAGTGGAGCACCATGTTTTGCGAAAAAAGTGCCCAAAATGACACACCCTATTACCTATGTCGCGATGTTTGAGGATATTTTCGGCCAAAAACAGAGCATTTTAATTTGCTCCCATTGGTTTATAATTGAGAGGTCGCAAAACTGACCTGACCTTAGGTCACCGATATGAAAATTCCGAGATAAACAAATTGTTCATACTGATTTCCTCATGAAATTTGCAAAATCCCGAGTGTCAAACTTCTGGAGTGTAAAATGTAGGAATGACAGAATCACAAAGTTTTTTAGAGGTATGGTTGCTAATTTGACCTGGTGACCTGACCTTACGTGACCTGGGGTCAAAATTTTCACACGATGTCAAATTGATGTATAATAAGCTATACCAAGTTTCGCAGCGCTGCGCGCCGCAGTTTTCCTTGCACGCGAAAAAAAACTGGCAGGTGTGGCCAAAAACGCCCCTCCCCCTCCTCCCCCCCCCCACACTCGGGCGAAGGCTAACAAGTAAGGCCAAACACATAGGCAATGGCAAAACCAACTTGCCTTGTGTAGAGTCTTGACTGTCCGGCGAACATCCCAGTAGCAGGTTCCTTTTAACATTCGAGTTGAAGCAGGAACTGAGGGGGAAAAAGAAATATGACAATAATGGGAATTCATCAAAGGGATATTGTATATAAGGTATATAATGCTCAAATTTCAACAACAGCACTGGATCAGCCCTTACCTGTCCCGGTCCACCTCAGTGAAACCCATAAAGTCTTCAGACGGTGAAGGCGACCGACACCGTAACTTTTCCTCCTTCACCAGAGACTGCAGAGCGCGGTCCGACAAAGGATCCTCATCCGACACCGGGGGAGACGACGGCCGCTCAACCTAGACCGAATAAACCAGTAGCGTTAAAAATAGCATGCTATTCCACCATATGTAGATGTAAAAATTGAACACATTTTACGCTTGCATTTCCCTTAACCCTCGCCGGCCGAGGGGGGGGAGGGACGGGTGCCGCCCCCCCCCCCATAGGGTTTTTTTCGCGATAGCTCCGAACACGCTGACGATAGAGAGCTGAAACTTGGCATACCTGACCTTTGATTCAAGCCGGATCTTTTGACACCAACCGCATTTTTGGGTCAGGTCAGGTCACTGACCTATGACGTCATAAGTAAACCTCTGCACGGTCTTTAGATGTCGCAACTTCGCAACGCCCTCACTGCCAGAGGAGATGTCACAGGGAAAGGAAACTTGCAGGATCTAGTATCCATTATGAGTCTCACAATTTGTATATCTCGGATTTTTCCTAAAGGTCATATGAGGTCAGGTCATTTTTATGACCTCACCATTATAAGGCAATGAGGAAAAATGAAAACTGCTATTCTGGCGCCGGGAACGATCTCCAACTATCTCAAGCACACCGAATCGTGATTTGATGCACCCCTTGCAAGGTTAGATGCGTCACTTTTGCAATGTTGACCTTGCGTGACGTCATTTATGACGTCATCAAGGTCATATTAGTTTTTCGTCAATAACTCTTGATCAAATTGAGCTAGCGAGTCGGGAAAGCCACCAATGGACTCAGGAAGACCTGCCGAATCGAATGATATGCAACATGACCTCTTTCGACCAGCTTGGTGACCTGGGGGTGCTGACATGACCTTGACCTGAGGTTAACACCCTAAGTTGACCTGACCCGAACAAAAGTATATCATTCGACGCGCCTGGTCGAGGCGAACACGATGCTGCCGAAATCGCGGCTCTGCGGCCGTTTTTGCGAAGTTATTCACCAAAAACTGAACCATACCTTGGGGCACTTGACCTGACCTCAGAGGTCACCGGTTGACCCAGGACCTTAAAATCGGGTACCAATCTCTGCGTCTCGAAACGGCACACACGCTTGTTTTTTTCCGCGACGCGCTAGCTCCACCAGGGGCGAAACGGCGAGGGAGGAGGTCGTACCCGCCCCCCCCCCCCCCTCGGCCGGCGCGTATGTAGAAAACCAATAGGCCCGGCGAGGGTTAAATCAACCTGGCAGTAAAAGCAGAAAAAAGTAGCAACATGCATGTACCTATTACTTACCCTTGGTGAAGAGACTTCAATCTTTATCTCCTCCTTGACAACCTGCTCAAGGACGCCGTCGGAGCCGCTGTCTATGGGAGTGAAGTCGCTCCGCTTCTGGGACCGCCTCACACACTCTGACGGACCCCATTCCTTGTCGCCGTCAGCAGAGCCCTCCCGAGACCACTTTGGTCCTACCGGTGTTGTTGACACAGCCCGCATGGATGGCAGTGGCTGAGACACTGGTGGGATGAGGTTCAATGTCCTTTGTCAGTTCACGTACATCGTGACAATACCGATTCACAATGAGTAGGTAGGAAACAAGAAATGACAAGTTATGAAGTTCTCATCACAAATAATTGAGTTATTTCCAATAGTGTCCACTATCCATGACACTGTCATCAGTTCCAATGATATTACATCAACAAGAAGGTACCAATTATCAAAGAGCTAGGTACACACATAGTTTTGAAAACTACCAACTGGTTTTAAGCACACTGACATATTTGAGTTATTATTTCAACTGATAAAACACACACCAATATGAATGTCTGTGGAGTTAGCGTCAGCAACAGCAACAAATACAGCATCGGATTCAGAATCGCTTCAAAAACTACCTACCTACTATCGCCACAATAAGGGTCACAATCGATTCCTTTGGTCAATATAAATAATTTGGTCAATAATTTGCCAAATGTCATTATATTTTTCAGAAAACAGGCACCTATCTCAGGAACTATGATAGCTGGAAAAACGCATGGTAAAGCCATCGATACTTTTGAACTCTTCATCAAAATTGACCTCAGGTCTATAGTTAAGCCTCCAGAGGTCATTTATTGTGAAAATAGCTGTTTTGGGATAAAACTTTTTCACAAATAACTTTTGAACCAGCAAAGATGAAGAATTGGCAATGACACTATCATGGCCCTGTTTCACCGGTGATAGCAGCAAGCTGCTATCACATAGTAGCTGCTATCACATAGCAGCTTGCTGCTATCACATAGCAGCAAGCTGCTATCACGTTTCGCGAGCTGACGTCATGTCGTGACGCCATACTGTTGTCGTAATGGGTAGTTCCGGCGCACGATTGCCGCGACCTTGGCGGCGGCATTAAGTGACGTATGAGCCTAAAAGTAAGAGTTTACGCAGTCATGATAGTATATATATTTTTGATATATATTTTTTTAATATGATGTATTTAAAAGAAATTGGGTTTAGGAAAAATTTGGACATTAACTTCGAACATTTAGCTGATGACGTAAAACAATATTGCGGCAATCATGCGCCAGAATTGCCCCTTACGTCAGCAGGCCCTGTTTCACCGGTGATAGCAGCACGCTGCTATCAAATTGCGCGAGCTGACGTAATGTGATGACGTCATACTGCTGACGTAAGGGGCAATTCTGGCGCACGATTGCCGCAATATTGTTTTACGTCATCAGCTAAATGTTCGAAGTTAATGTCCAAATTTTTCCTAAACCCAACTTCTTTTAAATACATCATATTGAAAAAATATATATCAAAAATATATTTACTATCATGACTGCGTAAACTCTTACTTTTAGGCTCATACGTCACCTAATGCCGCCGCCAAGGTCGCGGCAATCGTGCGCCGGAACTACCCATTACGACAACAGTATGGCGTCACGACATGACGTCAGCTCGCGAAACGTGATAGCAGCTTGCTGCTATCACCGGTGAAACAGGGCCAAGACAAACACAATGAAGCCATCAACATGAAATGTTGGTTTCCAACGTTTCCAACCTCTTGATCAAATCGCCCCAGGCGCCCTGTTTTCACCGTCGTCCCTAATTTTGCCCCGCGTTCGATGTCTCTCGGACGACGAAGATTCTACGTCGTCCCTCCGGCCAATCCCGTCCAAGGTTAGTGGGGGCTCGGCTGCGGTTATGGAACGTGATTGGCGGACGGCGTAGAATCTTCGCCGTCCGACATCGAACGCGGGGTAAACCAAGAGGGTAAACGTCACGTGTGAATTTCACGAACCTTGATCAAATCGCCCCAGGCGCCCTGCGTCGTCCCCTCCCAGGCCCATGTCGTCCCCTATCTCTCTGCGTGTCCACTAACACGAATGACGTCACGCATGTGGGCGGAGCTATGGGCGGAGCCTAACGCACGCGGCAGTCCAAGCCGCCATATTTGAATTTCTATTTTAATAGAATCTTGCCGATATTTTGGGTGAAGTCAATTTATATGGATAGCTTGGTGACAGTTTAGCTATACGAATAATAATTTATTATGGATGTGCGTATATTCAGCTTGGAATTGCAATTAAAGTTCCGCACCGCATAGATTCGAACTCGGACCTTTGGAATACTGCGCGGGCACGCTAACCACTACACTACCGCGACCGCGCGGCGGCCGGCGGCAGGGAGGCTGCGGAGACATGGGGGGACATTTTACGCTTTTGTGAAAAAAGCAAAAGATTTAGCGAAAAACACGTAATAGATAACTTGCAGAAAATTGTCTGCTCTTTCAGATAAGATACTTAGGTTTGATATATCTTGTGCAGACTTCATTCTACAGTGCTTCGAAAATCGCTCATTTACATGGGGATTGAACGGGGCTTCGAGACTTGACTCCAAATGACGTCACGAGCTGACGTCACGAAAAGGTAGAATCGCCGGACGACCCAGGGGTAGCCAGTAACAGTTGGTAGCATTAGGCCAAATGGGCGCTCAAAAACTACTACCCCATAGGGTTTCCATGTTAAATCGACCTTTTTCAAGCGAGCTCCATACGTAAGCTAATAGATAAAGTGCCAATATTATTGTGGGGAAAGGTAGCCTCAAGCTTCCTCTACAACCTTTCTATCTAGCGTTTTTCGATGCGGAGGACATAACAGGTCCAAAAAGCATTGGGCGCTGCCCGAGGTACCAAAAGCCCCTCCATGAGAGCACAAGGTCCTGCGCATGCGCACATTGCCTCAACCCTGTACAAGCGTAAATTAGTGATACTGCTCACGGACTTGCTCAGCCAATCAGCATCCACGATTACATTCATAGATGTCGCTAGCATCACGTAAATCCTGCTTGCGAACACATTTGAAGAATGAAACAGCTGCGCCATTTCCGCCTTCCATTGATTCCTTCCATTTTAGTATCAACTATACGCTTTTCAACTAATTTTAGACTAAGTTTTAAACTATGGTTAGTATGTTACTTCTGGTACATATAATTTAAAAATAACTGCTTTATGAATTTGGCTTTACTCTTCAGAATAGAATACTCTCTTTTTTTCGATAAACAAAAAATATATCACCTACCCTGTAACTTGTCCAGGTAAAATGGGCGCTTTCCGCGTCGCTGGTGTACCCGTTGTTCTATATACCCTGGGACGACCCTACCTGGTATATAGGGGTGAGTATTGAAGCATCCAAGAGCGCAGCATCCAAGGGACGCAACATCCAAAACCTTAGCATCCAGCGATCAAAACGTCCAAATAACATCCAAAACCGACCCCTTAGGGATGATTCAGAGCATCCAAGAGCGAAACATCCAAAACTGCAACATCCAGGACCACAGCATCCAAAATCGTATCATCCAAATTGGCAGCAACCAAGGACGAGGAATTGCAGCATCCAAGAGTGAAACATCCAAGGGTGCAGCATCCAAAACCGTATCATCCAAAAAACATTTTTGGCACCGCAGCATCCAAGACCGTATCATCCAAAATAGTGACATCTGTTGTACAAGCTGTACACTATTAGTTCAATGGCTGTCCGATAGGTGGTGGCACGTACGGTTCATAAGTGACGGAATTGTATGACATCACTGAGTCTCTATACAGTGGCATCCCTATAATGACCTTACATCCTCAAGACGGAGGTGCGTAGCTGCTGGTAGCGACATCGCTGCGATACCACTACAAACCTGACAGATGACATGAAGAAGCATTGCAGCGTATCCAAGCGCGGCACGTATGTAGGTAGGCTGAGCCGCTGAAGTGTCGATAATGGAGACCGATACCGAAAGTGGGATTATTAATTGCCCTTTGTTTTCACACCAGAAGTGCCTAATAAGTCGTGAAGTGTCCACTATCCCCGTAACCAAGCCTCCGCAAAGATCTTCAGCTCACCGTCAGATCGCGCTTATCATCGTCAGCTCCTCCCGTTCCTTCACAGTTAACCTTTTTCCTGTCCTGTGTGATATATATTCCATGTTCCAGAGGGCAAAAAATATAAAAATAGCCGTTTATACCAGGGGTGCGGAGCCGGAGCCGGAGCAGCCGGAGCCGGCATATTTTGCCCAGAGCCGGAGCCGGAGCCGTAAAACAATATAGCCCGGAGCCGGAACCGGAGCCGGAGCCGTCAAAAAAGGGGGTGACTCCGGCTCTTTTTTTTAAGAAGAAAAAATTATTGACCTAGTTCGGTTTGACAGTACAAGGCCATGTGGTATTCACTATTCAAATTAGCCTTGTTATGCAAATACAGAGGCAACGTGTACCAATCCAATTTCAATCGCCCTTTCTCTTCCACCCGTAGGTATTTAATTAATCGCACAGGGGATGTACGTACCTACTGAGAAGGAGCCGGAGCCGCCGGAACCGGACCATTTTACTTGGAGCCGGAGCCGGAGCCGGACCATCTGAAATTTCCACGGCTCCGCATCCCTGGTTTATACGAAAAAAGTTTTAGGTAACAGATTTTGACTTAAGGGAGCCACGACATTACTTTTACCAGCAACGTGTTCCCCTCGTCGAGTCGCGTCGAATGAAATTCGGACTTCTAAGGTCATTTGGAAAATTTGACCTCGGGTCAGGGCATGGCCTGACCGGAAAGGGTCATGCTGCATATCAGTTGATCCGTATCGCCGAGTTGAACACATCTGACATGTTTTTACCGCTCTAGCACGTCTGTCGTCTCTTATATCAATTCAAAAGAAATAGTTTAAAAAAACTGCTGGTGACCCTTCATGACCTGAGATAACCTCAGGGTCACACAAAGGGGTAACGGGTGCAATATTCGGGTGTGTCATGTTTTCCAATAAACCGATGTTTGAGAGTGTTTATAGATAGCATGGGCGTCGAAAGCGGGGGGACGGGGGACGCCCCCCCCCCCCGCCGGCAGTCGATGAATCCGGGGGGGACGTCCCCTAAAAAAAAATCGGCCATAAAGGATTTCAACAGTGACTATTTGCAACGGTCATTCAATATGGAGTCATGTAAACAGAAATAAACCATTTTCAAAAGAATACCTACTGATGCTGGTCAGTTCGACGGTAGGTACAACTGAGAACTCAGACACTTCAGCGGCTCAGCTACAGCCCACCGCTAAAGTAATGTAGGGTTTTACCAATCTCAACGGTTGGCTTTGACTGGCGATTGTTTAATGCGGAGTGATCGAAAAGAAGATGTCAATAGCTAAAGTTGCAGCTGCAAGGGTGACGATACATATACCTAAGCTACATTCAAAGTTTCATTGTAGTCTGGCTAATCGTTCCTAAGCTTCATAAGCAGAACATACTCATGACCGAAACCCCACATTACTTCTGCTGTGGACTGTACACCCACCAAAGGCTGAAGTTCGGTCCTCTGGGTGGGGTGACAGCTGCATAAGCCACACATTCGAATATTCACAATACTCAAGCAATTCTAAACGGCCATCCTCCCGTGCTAGGCAAAACGACAGCCGAAGGGACTCACCAGTTCACCATGACTTTAGAGTACCTGATGCTGGTGTGAGAGGTCAGAGGACCTCGCCACGGTCTGGGATTTTTTATTGGGTTAGGACTTTTCGGTCTGACGAGACCATTTCAGAGCCGGAAGGAGATGGGAATTAGGGGGAGGGCGAAGGGGGACATTTGGTCTGGGCGAGCACCTTGATGAGTCGACGAGGCTGAGCCCGTCCAGAGGGGCAGGCCGACCAGCACCCCAAGCACACACCAGTCACCGCACCCGGTTACGGTCGTGCTCTTATCGGGGGTTCCCGCATGGGATAAAGTTGCCCGTCCAGCCCGGAACAAGGAGTTGAGGCGTGGAGGAGAGGGATTTGACTGTCCTGAGGATAGA